TATAGTCCATGCAAGAAATAAGAGAGAGGGCAACAGTGCAATGGGTGCTATAGGGCATGATGGTGCCTTTAGGAGCAGCCCTGAGCAAGCTTCACCACCCCAGAAGTAGTCTCAGGTGGCATTGTGCCCTGCTCCCAAGGAGTGGTTACATACCTCTCAGCCTGCGATGGCCCAGATGTAGGACATGGTGTCTGACAAAGACACACACAGACCTGTTCAGGTGGGAAACTTTAAAATGTGGTGGGATTCCTTTCTTCGGTGTAACTCTCTCTCTGGAACCTCCATTTCTGAGTGAGGGGACCCCAGATTTATGTGCCATGTTGGTAACTTTCAGAATAAAATGAGTGACATCCCTCAAATTGGGGGACAGTAGAGAGGAATGGGTAGTGAATCATAGAATATCAGGATTGGAAGGGACCTCAGGAGGTCATCTAGTCCAGCCACCTGCTCAAAGCAGGACCAATTCCCAACTAAATCATCCCAGCCAGGGCTTTGTCAAGCCTGACCTTAAAAACCTTCTAAGGGAAGAAGATTCCACCACCTCCCTAGGTAACCCATTCCAGTGGTTCACCACCCTCCTAGTGAAAAAGTTTTTTTCCTAATATCCAACCTAAACCTCCCCCACTGATCTATACCAGTGACTCCCTTCTGATCTATACCAGCAGGAAATTACTTCCCTCCTCCCGCCCTCTGTGCTGGTTTAGCTATTCTGGAAAGAGAGTAGGGGGATGGGGCCAGACTCCACCCATTCCCCACCTACCTGCTCCAGGGAGGGAGTAAGCAGATGAAGAACCCTTTGTTTTCCTACATGCCTGGACCCAAAGAGACGGGGTGAGAGGTGATAGGGAGGAGGGTTTATTCCCCTGCTCACGTGTGTAATCTGAGCTCTTCTTGAATATTTGGCTGACGTTGGGATGTGGTAAATATCAGGGCTTATCCACACCTGGAAATTTACTGAAAACAGCTATTCCAGAATAATCATTCCTGATTAGCTAGTCTGATACATTTCTGAGTGTAGACAAGCCCTCAGTTTCTATCACCTACATCAAGGGTGGAGATAGAGTTTTGAGCCCAGATGTGTGTACATCAGTCTAACGTGCAGCAAGGGACTAACAGCCTGTCTCTGAAGTGGAAGGAGAAAGGAAGGAAAGAGAAGCTGCTGCTGTGGAGCTGTTGCTCTGATCTTCCTCTGGTGTTCTCTGTCTTGGTGCTGTGCTGGACAGCTCACCACCCTTCCCCTAACTCTGCATCCTCTGGCTCCGGGCCTAGTTAGGTTATCAAAGGTGAGGTTGGTGGAGCGGCTTTCAGAATCTACATGCTGTTCTTGCTGTGTTTGCTTTAGGAGCACAGAGTAAAACTGGCTTTCATGGGATCATAATGTTGTGTTAATATGATATCCAGTCCTGATTTTAAAAAAACGTCTTCCCGTGACCAGGTGCAGCAGGAAGTGCCAATTTGCCAGAGTCTCGTTATTACACATTTGGGCGCACCACAGCTGTGTCTGTTGGGTCCAGACTTCTCCAGAGCCGGGTAATGAGCTGCAGCAATCCAGATATTCATGGTACACAGACTGCTACTGATGAGGAAGTCAAAAATATCATGTCATCGAAGGTAAGGGAGGAAAAGAAAGCTTGGTAGCTAGAGATAGGGTCTAACCCAAAAACCTAGATGAAGGACCCAGATCCAGACTTTGTGGGTGGACTCATCTCTACTCATATATGCTGTATATGCCACCAAGAAGTCTTGCTGTTCATCTGGGCGCTAAAACAGCAAGCTAAAGCTCTGGTGCCAAATCTTTAAGTCCTTTCTCAGTGTCCCAGAGAAGTCAACAGTAATTTGACATCAGTAAGGTCTTCAGAATTTTGTCTCTGAATGGATGGATTTTGTCTCCACTGCAGGATGTGCATATTTTCAGATCTCTAATTCTTTTCTTGTGTTCTGAAAGATCTATACATAACAATACCTAGGGTGTTTATGAGGGACTTGATCAGCTCTTGTTCAAGTCAATGGAAAGAGACTGCTGTTAACTTCACTGGGGGCTGGATCAGGCTCTAATGAGGGTTAAACACATCTTACAAAGAAGAATCGCTCTTCTAATGCTGAGAGGGAAAATATTCCATTTCTTCACAGCCATTTTTTATAAAATCACAGTGCCTGTTTAGTGCTGAATGTGTGCACTTCAAGTGAGAGACTAGGTGGGATGTCCATCATCAGCACAGTGATTTTACATCAGCTAGTATGGGCACCAAAAGCATCTGCTTTGGTGATGAATTCTTCTTTTGTGAGTCCTTAATTTGCCCATTGAATTCAAGTGAAACATAAACTGATTTTCTTCTTTTTCTTGTTCAGAATTACATAGATTGTTGATGTTAATTATGTGTAGCATAGTGCTTTTGCAGTGCTTTGTTTTCAAACTTGATTATAAGACACTTTCTGAATCTGTTCTCCATCCAAGGGGCATGTGCATCTCCAATTAAAGCGAATGAGACTTATGTGTCTAGCTCGAGGGAAATAAAACAAAATAAAAGAGAAGAACTAGTCATATTTGCAGGTTATGAATATTTGATTTGTTTATATGGATATATTTATTCATCCATATCAGTTTTTAATAGTGTAGACTTGTATTTAATTGTTTATGAATTTTACTCCTATTTCCTGTGTCCTAAAACATAACTCAGCTCTAGAGTTTTTTAATTTACCTAAATTAAAACAAAGTTAACATGTAGGTTATTAAAGCTGCATCACATTAATAACAACATTGCAGGTTATTAAAGCATGCATCACAGCAATTTACAATGCTTGGGTGAGTACTGCCATTTCACCACCTTTTAAATGGACGTTGTTTTTAATGAAAGAAACTCCCAGCTGTCATTTTATTTGGTGGTTCTAAATATGAAATTTCTTTCAAGAACAGCTCTTGTTGAGTGGATGAATTAAGAGAGCTTTAAAGTCTAAATGCAATACTTGAGTAGGCCACGTGGTGGAGGTATTTACATTACTTTCCTTAGAATTCCAAATCCTGGCACTGTTTCCCTCCCTCCTCCCTCCTCTCTCCTCCCCCCATTACGGGGCATGTGTGAGAGAGAGGATGGTAGGGGAGATTTGTATTTTTTTTTTTTTTACAACTAGCAGCTGACTCTCCTTTGTTTAATTAATTAAAATCCCCTTCCCCCGGCTTTTGGCCCTTTTCTCCAGGTTGTAGATCGCAGCTCCAGTCGGATGTCTTTCTATATTGACGCCACCAACGACACATCAAATGCATCTGTAAGCCCAAGACCATCCAATAAAAAGGTAGAGTGCCACACAATGCGAGAGCAATCTGAAGCCTGGCTGAGAGCTGTTAAACAGCTGCTAAAACAAACTTTGCCAGTAACACTTAGATGAGGTACAGGGGAAAGGGAAAGAATTAATTTATCAGTTTTGGCAAATAAGCTTTGTGCCATAAAAGTTACGTTTATACCAGGGAGGTTGACCAGTAGATAAATTAATATATCTTCATTTTTGTATCAACCCCCTCAATCTCAGGCTCTTTAGATTCTGTTTCCCAAGTAGTTCTGGCAAGTAACAGAATGCTTTACAGGTCAATGTATATGATTGGAGACTCTTTACTTTGACTTGTAATGATCATAATGGATCAGTGTTTCCCAAGGTAAAGGAAGGGGAGTGAAGGACTAGTTGTGGTCCGAATTCACCAAATTGGCTTTTCCCCTGCTCATAGTCTTTGAAACCAACCCACTCTGTCTCTCTCACCGTACATGTTCCAGGGTAGCAGTTATTAGGAACATAGGAACTCCCATTCCAGATCAGACAAGTGATCCTTCTAGTCCAGTCTGCTGTCTCTCACAACAACCAGCAACAGCTGTTTTAGAAGAAAGTGCAAGATACCCTCCAGTAGGTAGTTAAGGAATAACTTGCCCACAGGGGAAGTTTCTTCCTGACCTCTGTTAGAGTTTGAGTTATGCCCTGAAGCATGAAGGTTTATATCCATTCCTAATTATTGAGGGATTAATTATCCTGTCTAATGTAACTGGAGATGTTCCCATTATCCATATAAATATTCAGTATCTCTACTTGTATATCTTTTGTATAGAGAATGGACCATGATGCAAAGTTTAAATCTGGATCTGAACTTCCTAAAAGATTGGGGTGCTTGGATCTGGGTTTTCAGTTCAGAGTCATCTTTACACAGTATTGTTTTCAAGTAGGATCCAGTGCAAAGATCTTGCTTTAAGGATTCCTTCATTCCCACCCTTTAGCATTCACCATCTTCCCCCCAACCTCAGAAACGCTAATGCATTACATAGAAGTGCTCAGAATCAGTATAGCTGGGGTAGGCAACCTATGGCACGCATGCCAAAGGTGGCACACGAGCTGATTTTCAGTGGCACTCACACTGCCCAGGTCCAGGGGGCTGTGCATTTTAATTTAAATTTTAAATGAAGTTTATTAAACATTTTAAAAACCTTATTTACTTTACATACAACAATAGTTTAGGTATATATTATAGACTTATAGAAAGAGACCTTCGAAAAACGTTAAAATGTATTACTGGCACGCAAAACCTTAAATTAGAGTGAATAAAGGAAGACTCGGCACACCACTTCTGAAAGGTTGCTGACCCCTGCAGTATAGGCTGCAATTCACACCCTAAACACATTGCCCAAAGCCCATGAATTATGGGCTTGAGTAATGGCTGCTTCCCATCTGCACCTTCATTTGGTGATTCCTCAGCACTGGGTGTGGCTACAGTGACCCCTCACCCCACCTGTCCCCATCACACCTGTCATACCAGCTTATTCAAAGCAGCAAAGGTGTCAATCTCTCCAGCATATATGGAGTGCAGAGGCCTCCGTGCCCAGCAGCTCCTTCCACATCACCCCCTCACACAAAAGGCCACTGTAGTATGGAGGGCCTTGCACACACGGAGTGAATTTCACCCACACAGTATTGGATTGAGGGGTCAGTGTTGGAAGATGAGTTCAGTTTAAATCATTTCTCACCATGCTGTGTTTGTTGCCTAGCATTTCCATGAAGAGCTAGCACTGCAGATGGTGGTCAGCACTGGGATGGTGAGAGAAACCGTCTTCAAATACGCCTGGTTCTTCTTTGAGCTGCTGGTAAGATTTTGTTCACAGAATTATATAACAATTGAGAAATTAAATGCCATTTGTGCCCAAAGCCACAGATGCAGATTTGTTGCTGTCTTAATCATCTATACCCCCCAGTGCATCACAACCCACAGTTTAGGAACATGCTCAGACTGTGTGTGTGTCTGTCCGTCCGTCCGTCTGTCCGTCCAGCTAATCTTCCCCATAAGAGTGGGCCTGAGGCACACAGTGCGGACTGTCCTCCAGATCTGAACCTCCCTAAAGTTTGGAGATATCGGGCTAGGGGGTTCGGTTCAGATCCAACTCTCCATGGAGCCCTGATGACTCCAACACATAAACAGAAAAATCAGCCTTGCGGGAATTCTCTGAAATAATTTATCCTAACTGTAGCCAGCAGGATCTGCCCAGGGTTGAGGATTCAAAGAACCCTGCTTATGTTGTGCACTCATTGGTCCACAGCTGGCAAAGCACTGCAAGACAACAATCAAGCTAGTATCTTTCCTTCATTTCAGATGAATACCAATTGCCATTTTCTCCACTCTGCTAATAGCATAGGCCACTGCCCACAGTGCCTGAACTCCACACACTGAGATTCTCCCGTGCAGGCCTGAGGTGACTGACGTCACTGAAGAATGGTCTGACTTATTGGTGAACACTGGCAGCAAATAAACCGTTCAAAAGCCAGCCAAGAAGTAGGAACTCATTCAAAGAGTGATACCCCAGGCCTGTCATCACGAGGGATCAGAGCAGCAAGAACCCTTCGTGAGCACAAGGACCCACGTCCTGCATTCTCTCCGATCTCAAACTCCTGACCAATGATCTTCTCTTTCTTTCTCATTATTGAAGCTATGACTTAACTGTGAGCTTTGGATGCGTGAGGGAATGCAGGATAGAGACTAGAAAGTGAATGGGTCAGGAATGGAAAGGTTTTTCGAAAACGGATTTGACCTTTCTGCTGCTGGCTTCTCGCACCCCGTCTATGTGATGGCTGAATGTAACGCTTTCCTTCTAAGTACCAATGTTCTGTTAGAATGTCAGCACCTACATGAGAACATGGCAGTTCAGCAGGGGTGGTGTGCTTTGCCACATATATTTGGTAAAATAGGAATTTATAGTCCAGAACTTGAGCAGAGACAGGGTCTGGAGTCTGTTGTACTTTAAGAAATAAAAAATAAATAGGTGGCATGTAGGGAGAAATTGAATCTTTTCTAAGTGTATGTAGCACCTCAAGAGTGGAGAGTGTGTCTGATGCCTGGAACTGTCTCCCTCTCCTGGTATGCTAAATGGCCATCTCCTCTTCTTTCAAATCCCTCCTTGAAACATCTTTCTTCAATGAAGCTTTTCAGAGGTAATCCACTATAAAAAAAGCATTTAATAAATATCACACATTTTTGATCTTGAAACTTAGTTTAGGTAACAGCTGTATTGTCAGTCTGTTCTAGATCCTAAACCTTTTGGTTCAGGGACTGTGCATTCCTCTGTATATTATGTACAGCACCAAGCACAGTGATGAAGGATGAAATCCTAATGTTTGCACATAATAAATGCAGCAGAAATATCAGGAATGCAAACCTCTCTGTTCTGTCCTGCCAACTTGCATCAACCCCAACCTACCTGGGCAACTTCTAGGAGTAAGACAATAGTTCAGCCTCCATTCTCACTCAGTCCTTGGGCCCTCTGCTGACACTGACAACAAGTATGCTAGTTGTGATGGTAGTTTTGTGCAGGTGAAATTGACGCTTGTGGGAAATCGGGCCCAAGTGCCAGTGTTAAAGCATTCGTTTGATAGTAATAGGTTTGGTTTTGTTTTGCAGATAAAGAGCATGGCTCAGTATGTTCATAACATGGACAAGCAAGATACTCTGCGAAGAAGTCGATTTTCAGATCGTTTCAAAGATGACATCACCACTATCGTCAACGTGGTCACCTCAGAGATCGCAGCACTTTTAGTTAAAGCACAGAAGGTAAATGTGGGATACAAAGAAATAAATGTAACATTTCCTAGCACTCAGGGCCGGCTCCAGGGTTTTTGCTGCCCCAAGCGGCGGGAGAAAAAAAAATAAAAACAGCGATTGCAGTCGGCGGCAGCTCCACCGCGCCGCTTTCTTCTTCGGCGGCAGGTCCTTCCCTCCGAGAGGGACCAAGGGACCCGTCGCCGAATTGCCGCCGAAGAGCCCGACGTGCCGCCCCTTCCCCTTGGCCGCCCCAAGCACCTGCTTGCTGAGCTGGTGCCTGGAGCCGGCCCTGCTAGCACTCTTTTTGTGGTTATTTCCCGCAAGACCTACTGAGCCAAATTCAATCCTGGTGTAACTTCACTGACATCACTGAAGTTACACCAAAGATGAATTTGACCCAATATTTCTATTTTATCTCACTTGTGTCAATCATTGTGTGGTAGATTCTAACATCCTTATTCATGTTGCATAGCACCTTATTCCATGAGTGGATCCATTGATTGCCCTGGGAATATTTAAGAATTAAGGTAACACTCACCCTGGGGAAGGTTTACAGAATCTGGTTCCAAATGATCTCATCACCAGCTTCAAATGCTGTTAATATGAAATTCACAGATCAAAAATAAAATCTTTACCTCACTGTAACTCTTTCCTCTAATATATTTGAAAATCAACATATTTGGTTACAAAAATGGAAGAATTAAAAAACCTAACTTACTTTTCACCACTTAATGCCATTTGTTTACATTATGAATTTCAGTCATCTTGGACAAAGGAAATCGAGTAGTCAGTTTCATTCTCTGGTTTTCATGCACTAGCAAAATGCTACGGGAATGTTTAAATAAAAAACTGGGTCACTGTGATCTTTAAAAGCATTTCATTAAAATACTTCTGTTCACTTAAGTAAAACACTTTTTAGCAAAATTTTAATTTATGCCCTCAATGCATTCAACCATGGCCTGTTTATGGCTTCTTTACAGAGAAGACACAAATAGTCTTATATAGGCAGTACTGTTAATTAGATCACATTCTGATAGGGTGAGGACAGAGAGTCTAATCATGAAAGTTCTCCATGTGTGAAAATGCCACTGAAGTGCCAAGAGGGTTTAGAGAACTGGATATATACATTAATTGTACTCAGAAGCCATAGATGACACTTGTATGATTCTTACAGACGATGCAAAAGCAACCTACTTGTTTTAACACAATATTGGGTATGTTTTTAATAGCTTGTTGCTTAAGTCCTGCAGTGATGAAGCATGTCCCCCTGGCTTGCTTTGCCCAGGCTAGCAAACTGCTTGCACCACGAGAGTAGGAAAATATTTAACAGCATGAGATCACAGAAAATAGCTTTATATATCTGACCAGAAAAGACAAAAACATGAAAAAGTGACTCTCTGAACACTATAAAGCCACTCTCTGAACACTATAAAGCCACTCTCTCTAGCATGAGACACTGAAGGCTATACAATTCCCTCAGTCTCACTTCCTGAAACTGCTCTATCAGTCATGAATAAGCAACCTCTGTGGGACTTGAACACAAGCTAATTAAAACACACCCGCACATGTACACGCCAGAAGCAGTCACACACACAATCAGACAATTCTTTGGACTGAACTACACATAGAACCAAGATTTTTAAGGTTATATTCAAATTAATAAATTTCAAATAACTCGGGCCTTATTTTCAGAGTTGCTGAGCATACAGAGTTCCCAGTGACTTTAGTGGGAGCTGTGGGTCCCTGAAAATCAAACCATTAGTAAATATTCAGAACTGAGCTGCTAAATCATAAAACCTAGAGATTTGTCTTACTGCAATTTTTTTGTCATCAGTCTCAGATTTACGGTTTCTAAATAAAATATTTGATGTTCACTAAATAGAGTTAAAGAAACATTCTGTCAAAGCTGTGTTAAGTATTTTAGTTTTCTGTAAATAGTAAGCATTCAATTATTTTTTAAGAAACTGAGAGTAGAAATGATTGCAGCTATTCCCTACAGTGTATTTTCCTATATTGTGTCAAATCTATTTTAAAATTATTCCAGCAATGGAGCTTCACAACTTCACTTGGGTGAATGAGTCTGGTGATTTTATATATTATAAACCACAAATTCTTTATTTTTTAAAGGAAACTGAACATGCAGAAAAGATCAACATTAGCTTGGCATTTTTCCTGTACGATCTGCTTTCTCTAATGGACCGTGGGTTCGTTTTTAACCTCATCAGACATTACTGTAATCAGGTACGCATCGTTCAGAACAGTATCTGAATGAAGTTTGGTAATCTGTTCAGTTCTGCTTCTGACTCATTTTTCCCTCAAGAGGCTGGCATTAGTAATAGTGCCCAAAAGGCAGGATACATTCCCTTCTTAATGGAGCCTGGGAATAGGCAGTGAATGCTGTCCACAACCATGTGGATCCCAGTGGATCTGCAAAAAGTGGGAGCCCCTCCCTGCTATTTCCTGACCCTTCTACCCCATTAGTAGTAGCCACTTAGTGGACATACTGCTTTTAGGTCCCCTGCCATTCCCACGATCTGTATCTCTGCCAGTGGGACTCAGTGCACAAAGTGAAATGCTGCTATGAACAGTATTAACTTTTTCATAATTTACCAGCGGAAAAGTCCCTGTATTTGGAGGCTCGCTTGCTGTATAGAACAGATACCCCCTTCTTCTAGGCGTACACCCCAACCTTGTGAAGTCACAACTGTACAGTGTTTGAATAGAGGAGCTTGGAGCAGTAAGTGGGAGAAAATGTTCGTGCTGACCCTGCTCCTCCTCTGACATACACTGGCTACATTTCTGCAGATTTTTCTTGGCTCTGTTTCCCTCTGGACCATGCCACATGGTCTTAGATTAAAAAAAAATCCATCTCGAGCTCTACCCTCTTGTGTTCTTTGCGAATGGCTTTGCTTCAAAATCCTTCTGGAAAAACCCAGTATAAAAATGCATGACGTCTCCATTATTTTCATACAAGTTATTTGGTGCTTCTTTATTTTTTTCTAAGCATTTTGATCTTGTGATCCATATAGCCTTTCATGTTTACTTAAAAAAGGCCAAATTCTGCCATTGGACACGTGCACAACTTCCATTGAAGTTCACAACTGTTTTGCCACAATTTCTGCTGAGGCATTGCACTTGTGAAGGGATCTGACAGTACTCTTGGAGCAGTATGGTGCACAGTGGAGGAGCAGATTCCTTTGTTTAGTTTGCAACAGGCACAACAGAGTTTTTAAAAGTTAATATTACTATGCACAAAGGGGTGAGTATGTGTGTGTGTGGGGGGGAGGAATCCTTCAAAATTACTTTCCAGACAAGCTTGCTAAGGCAATTGCATGTTTTCTGGAAGGAAAGAATAACTGATCCTCTCTTGGGAGGTCAGCCAAGTGCAAAAACACCCCCACTAAACAGAGAATGCCTAATGGTTGGAATCTTGTTAAACACAAGAATCCAGTGAGCTTTTTACTGTCTGTTACTCTGCTCGGTTACTTTTATTAAATTGGCTGATTCTGTTTTAGGAAGAGAGTATTTCTCTATGTGTACATCTAAATTACCTGTGCTTGTCACATGATATTTTTGTTTGTTTTTTTCTAGCTGTCAAACAAGCTTACTACCCTCCCCACCCTAATTTCCATGAGGCTGGAGTTCCTAAGGATTCTCTGCAGCCATGAACATTACCTCAATCTGAATCTCTTCTTCATGACTTCAGTGTCTGCACCAGCATCCCCCTCTCCCTCTCTGTCATCACAGGTAGGCATCACTCAGTCCGTATCACATGTCTGACATCCTGATATGACGTATGTATGTGGAGAACTGATGGTCTTGCCACTGCTGTTGTATTCAGCTACTTAAGTCAGGATTCATAAGTCTATAATCATCAAGAGTTGTGAGCTCCCTTTTGTAGAAAAGGGGCAGAAAGGACTAATATCAGCAAGATGTTACTATGAAGCTGAATTGCACAAGTTCATACATATCATGCCATGCAAACGTGGGAGAAATTTTCAGTAGGCGCAGCTAGAAAAAAGCTACGCACACCCAATGTACAGCAATGACTGTGCTTGTGAAGATGCAGCACAAGGTACTATCAGATGGCAACATCTGTTTGTGAGGGTCATAGCATATGGAAATATGCAGCAGACTTTGCATTCTGAGCTTTTGCACATGCTCTCACTGCTCATCTTAAGTGTACAGGCAAGTCAATATTCATTAAAGCAACGGGTTTTTTTTAAGGTCCTTTCTGATCATTAAAATAAATCTTGACAGGTTTCAGAGTAGCAGCCGTGTTAGTCTGTATCCGCAAAAAGAACAGGAGTACTTGTGGCACCTTAGAGACTAACAAATTTATTAGAGCATAAGCTTTCGTGGACTACAGCCCACTTCTTCGGATGCATATAGAATGGAAGGGGACGCGGGGGGAGGGGGGGGGCAAAAAAAACCCAACAACCCCTTCCTCCGCAAGCGCTGGAGGGAGGCCCGGGAGACGCAGAGGGAGCGCGGGGCCGGGGCGAGCGAGAGTCCGGCCTGGCCCCGAGCAGGCAGGACCCAGCTGGGTGGCAGGGAGAGGAGGGGGCGGCCCGCGGTGCCAGGCGGCGGCCGCTCCCCCCCCCGGGCAGCGGGACCCGGGAGCAGCCGCCGCCGCAGCCCCCACCGCCGCGGGGGAAGGAAGCGGCCACGGCGCTCGGCGGCTGCGGCTCTGGCGCCTGGGCCTGCTGCGGGGACCCAGCAGCGTGCACGCTGCCCCCAGCCCCCGGCCAGTCGCGTCAAATAAATAAATCTTGAGGCTCTAAGAGTCAGGATTTCCCAGAGTTGTTGCTTGAGGCTCATTCTTGACGCCGAACAGTTGGAAATGAGATTCCACTACTAAAAATACCAAGGAACTCTGCATAGCTATCAAAACCAGTTACTGCAAAGCAGAGCTGGGCAGCTACCACTTAGAATCGATCTTTTCCTTAGGCAATATCATCAACTCTTTCCTCCCTTAGGAGTCACCCACACAGTACAACCTACTCGAGCCATTGGGCTTTTTGCTGCTTTTGCATGATTTGCTACAGTAGCTGGCCACCAATTTAGTAACTCTGCTCTGTCTACAGGATAGTTGCTAACGTGAGTGAGATTTTTCAATAAGAAATGTTGCCTTGGGGGTAAATCTTGTGGAATTTTTGTTGAGAGCTCATATAGGAAATTCATTTAACCGGATGCTCCATGCCTCTGTATTACTGCAAACAAACAGCTATGCCTGCATTTATATGGCAGCTGAGATAGGACCACTCTGTAGGGGTTTCATACAAATTCAAGCCTGCACTGTCCCGAAGTTTGGGGGGGTGTTCAGAGGTCAGGTTTTGATTCAGCCCATTATGGAGCTAGGGGTCAGCCATAAAGTTGGGATCTGGTTTTTACATGTTTGTTTTCCGGGCAAATTCGAGCAAATTAGTTTTTTGGCAGAAATATTTTCAAGTGAATATTGAAGAATATTAATGAAAAGCAAATTCTGAACTTGTAAACCTAAGTATTTGCACTGGAAACAGATTTTAAGAGTTATGCTCACCCAGTTGGGAACAGAAACGTACCAAGTGACCTATGGTTCAGATCCATGGTTACAGTCGTGGAACTGATAGCACAAACTCAGCAGCAAGTCTACTGATCCTGGCGTGGCTGTGCATCAGTTCCAGCCATATGTTACAGCAGATTGAAGGCTGCTCTAAATTACACTTGCTGCCAGCAACCCCAGACAGAGACTGCAAGGATACAGGAAAAGCATGTTCATCCCTCCTTCTTATGGGCCACATTTCTGTACCAGCCATGGAAAAGGGGGGTGCATGTGGCAAAGAAGCCACTATGCGGGCTCTGCACTGGGGTGATCTTCCCACGGTTGGTTATGCAGCTTTAGGGCTGATTTGTGCCAGCAGAATGGTACAGACTCTCCAGAGCAATCTGAACACAGGGTTGATGCTGGCTTCGTGTCCTATTCAAACTAACAAACACAGCTTGTTTGCACATCAAACACTCGAACCGAGCTGCTCATGCATAATTAAACCAGAGGGTTAATCATAGAAAGTATTCACTGAAAAATTCCTCAAAACAGATTTAAGAAAATTGTAAACAGACAACTGCAAACAGTAAAAGAGACTAAAGTCATTGAATAAATTCCTCTGTTATAATTGGACACTCTGCTCTAGCTTTAAATCGTTCAGCATAGCTCTCTATATTCATGGGAAAAAATTGCTTCAGAGAGATTTTGCTCAATTTGATTGAAAAGCTTCACATTTTTATTATACATTGCAATATTTCCCTCAGATGTTTACCTTGTTCCCATGTTGTATTCAGTGGTTTACAGTAGAACAGGCTGTTAGCTGTATTCTCAGTGAGTGGCACTATTGTCTGTTTAAATGAGTTGTATTTTCTTTGATCATCCATTAAAACACCCGGTATACTTTTGCAGAATTCAAGCTCCTGCTCTAGTTTCCAGGATCAGAAAATTGCCAGCATGTTTGACCTTTCGGCAGATTATCGTCAGCAGCACTTTTTGGCTGGACTGCTTTTCACTGAATTGGCAGCTGCACTGGACACGGAGGCAGAAGGGTAGGTTTCTCAGTTTTTAAGAGGATTTTTTCTGATGGCCCTGTGATCAGTACTCAGTATGGTCATGTGAGAGATGTGGGTTTGATTTTTAGGTCCAGCCTCTTGCTTTCCACTGCTACAAAGGCAGTATCGTCAGCATAGCAAGAGAGAACACCACTTATTGCTCCCTCTGCCTTTGGAGTAGAATTGATAGCATTTCACTGGTCTTGTGTACCCTGGAGAATGTTGGTATGTTACCTTCCATGTGCATGCTTGGAACAAACCACATGTTAACCTCCATGGGTATGCTTGTAACAAACATCCACTGCAGAATTGCTTCCATGGAGCCCAGACAACCACCCCATCATTTGGAGTAGACTTATTTTGAGCAAGGTGAACTATCAAGTTCTCTGTCTAGGAGGGCAGCTGTGGTGATATAAAACCATAGGAAAAATAGGAGCTAATGTATGGTACAAGAAGCTTATGGGGCAACTTCTTGAAGAGGAAAAAAAAAGTTCGGTTGGAAAGGATAATCTCTTTTAAAGATGACAGATCTTTATGCAGAGTGTGATGAACACTAGACCTACAACATCTTGGAACGAGCCAGTTACGTACAGCTCCTACTGCTTCAGTCAAATAAACGTAGTACTTTCACCCTGTGGGTAGTTACTTAGGGGTCACTTTGTAATAAGGCAATAGTACGATTGTTTTGTAGGCAAAATGTTCTCCTCCCAGTGAATGCACGTGTATTATTTACATGCAATAGTGCTAAATAAATATGGAGCAAAACGTCATTGGGAATTTCACTTGCTCTTAGCAAGGTGAAGGCCTTGAAAACTGCTGCCTTCCGTCATGCTGAAGGATTTGGTTAGACAATTGCCATACTTGGCCATTGCAAGGGTGTGACATGTTTCTTTAAATCCATTTCTTCCGCCCTGTTGAAATTGCCTGGGACAGTTTTCCTTATTGGATTACTAGTTACCAGTGATCATTGCTTTGCAGGTGTGAAGTCTGTCATCTGGATCAGGATTTATTTTAGGGAATGCAGGCTGAGATGTTACTCTCTCGTTATAGCATAAGAGATTATCCACAGAATATTTATTAACTTCCTCCGCCTCAGTCATCTCTCATAGCCGCTTTGATCCATATAACCTGCATGTGTCTCAGTAACAGAGCTAGTCCTTGTTTGTGCTGACAGAATCAGTAAAGTGCAGAGGAAAGCGATCAGTGCTGTGCACAGCCTGCTGAGTTCCCATGACCTAGACCAGCGCTGCTTAAAACCAGAGGTGAAGGTCAAAATTGCTGCCCTTTACCTCCCTTTGGTTGGGATCATTTTGGATGCACTGCCACAGCTGTATGACTTTACAGGTAAGACCTTCTTTTCTTCCCTTATTTGCCCTCTCAAAGTGACTTCATTAAGTGAGCTGACAAAATGTAGAAGAGATTGCCTTAACTACTCTAATGCCAAACATGCTTGCGAGTGCAAACGTTTCTTTAATTCAAAGTAAGTTGGATTTTCAAGTACAGAAAAATGTTTATTCAAATACTATGAATTAGAAACTGTACAGAAATAATTAGGTGCGCAAATGATAGAGCAGTGCTTTATTTATGCATAATGCTATATCACTGTATAATTAATAATTATTCTGATAGATGGCTAACATATAAACGTGGTCCCTGCCGTGGAAGGGTTACAATCTAATATTAAGATATAAATGGGTGTAACAAACAATAGCAAGGAGAATAAGGGTAACAATGTTATGTTGTTACATTATTTAGCTGGTGCGCACCTAGATGAGTTGGAGATTTTTTTGTTTGCTTGTTTTTATGCTATTTGTTTAATTAGGAAGTATTAACAGGTTTACAAATTGGCTTGCTCATTTTATGTACTCATTTTTCTATTATTTGATAGTCCTGTTATCGTGGTACTGTAGTTAAAAGGAGCATTTGCAGGCAAAAGTAACCAGCAGGCTCAAGAGTCTAGAATAGAATTTTTATCCGAAATCATGAAACTACAAATACTGTTCTAAATCTTTAATCCTTTTAAAAAATAATTCTCTATGCTGTCTGATTCTGTCATATTTGACTTCAATGAGTTCTTATGAATTTGTCCCAGGCAGCAGTTTGCCATTTTTTTTTTTTTTTAGCGAAACCAGCTATTTATGTTCTATTAAAAGGACAACGCTGTGCTACTTGCAAAGCTACCATTTGTGTTCATGAAAAATTCAAGGCAGCAAAGAAAAATATATAGCTGTTTT